AAAAAAAAAAAAAAAAAAAAAAAAAAAAAAAAAAAAAAAAAAAAAAAAAAAAAAAAAAAAAAAAAAAAATTTTTTTTAATTCCTTCACTTTAAACAAACATGTATCAAAAAAAAATATTAGAAAAAAAAAAAAAAAAAAGAAAAAATAAATAAATCGAATAGACAACATTTGGCTCTGAAAATATCGAGTATTGAATAAATAGTACCGAATGCAAGTGTTCAAGTGTGTCCTCGCGTTCCTGTACGAGGAATTTATTGATGATACCTTGTCCTCACAGCGCATGTTAAGATTTTCCTCCACGAGAACACGTTTTCTCATTATTCTCTTTACGCGTGTTTTTAATTTTGCACACGTGATCTCAAATTCTGAATTGTGGCGTTGCTTGACATTCTGAAACGGGGTTGTGTTCAAGGCTTCGTTCACCTCAATAAATAAACTTCCGAGATTGGAGTTGATTCTCTTCCCAGCCTACACCTAAACACATCTACTCATTTTTGAACTATTGATGATTCGTATCCAACCAGGTCTCGCGTCGCACACTTGTAAAGCTTTTTTGGATCATGTGCTACGTGCCGATCTTCCCACCCCTTAAAAAATTGCACCGGCCATAGGGTCTCACAAACTTCTAAAACAATGAAGTGACCTCACACGACATACCAAATTCCATATAAACAATAGTTGAACAATGAAACCAAATTTGGAAGGGAGATTTCGAATGTGTGATTCGTGACAATGAGTTCATTGTGTTCAAATGTTTCAAATCATCACCTTTGTGTGCCAAATCTCCCTTATCGTAAGAGATTAAATGGTGGTTTGTTCTCTTTGGTGTTCCATTATTAAACGTTGGTACTCTAAATAAATAAATAATGAGGTCGTGCCTCGCTCCTCGTAATCGGAATCATATGAAATTTATCAATGTTTGTTGTGATTTTTTTTTAATAAAACATAGGTTTATTGTTTACCAACACCTGGATAACGAATTGGAAAGATCTTCCCTAAATCCGATAACCTTGTGAAATAGCATCATTTGATTTTATACGCCCACTCCTTTTCCTAGTGTACATGTAGATTATACGTAGATTCTCCCTAGAATTTAAATCTTTTTAGGTTTTATAGATGCATAGCTTATGATATCGTGGATCATTAATTTTAAATTTAACGCCGACAAGGATATACAAATACGCATACATCACATCGGAGAATCTTAAAAGAAAAAGAGCTATCGGAACGACAATTAGTTCCATCGCGAGGTGGTCATCAGAAAAAAAAAAAAAAAAAACACGATCAAACCTGTTACTCGGCATCGAGGCATCTGATCTTTGAGGTTCAACTGCGAAAAAGAGAAAACCTCCGATGCATGAAATCCGATTACCTAGTCACCGCATATATCTTAATTTGCAATCTGCATTCTAACCTACTATCAGATTAATCGAAAACTAGAACGTATCTTCGACCTTTACTTTGATAATGTTTATTCGTAATACGTTCTCGGACGATTATTTTTTACAAGGAGGGACTTAGGTTTTTCCGATGTTATCTAGGTTTTTTTTTGTTAGGAAGCGTGCGAAAATGTGGGAGAACGAGGAACTGCGTCCGTCCCACGTTATCAGTGCGAAACGGAATAACGTATGTGCGCAATAATTCACCGATGGTTCTGCGTTATTTTAACCGTCGACCCCTCTGCCCCACAAAATCCATGTTCTCCACACAAGCATCACAAGCACGATGCCTAACACAAAATAAATTACATACAGGTTTCAGAAAGAGGTTGGGGAATTACACATGATTTTTTTTTAAAATGCCTATCTTTAGGTGTTATACTTGGTAAAACTAAAACACGTTGTCTTGTATGTTACAAAAAATGCAATCTGCGTTACAGATTCTAGTCTTGGCCGACATTATCGCGGTAAATCTGGTCGACTGGCCTATCTTATACCAACGCGCGCTTATCAAGGCTATTATGTACTGTACCTTCTAATACAGTGTCTCTATTTAACGGATCGTTCCATTTCATAAGTGTGTATTCCGAAAGTGCAAAAGTTTGATTCCATTGTGTCCAAAAAATAAAATAAAATAAAATAAAAAATAAAATAAAAATAAAAATAAAAAAAATAAAAATAGGATAAAGATAATTCTAGGATTCATTCGTCGTCCTGGTATTTAATTTGCTTTATCGTAACTTTTATTCCCCGTTTTACCGTAGGGGTTAAACTTTCGTTAGCATTAAGAATATTACCGAGAGAATCCGTGACCGGATTCTATTTAAAAAAATAAAAAATAAGCGTCGAGTGATTTATGTGAGAGAAGAGATACATATTCATTTACCGTGGGCTTTAAACAAGATTTTGGCGTGGGCTTTTGTCTTGCCACAGAGGGGGAGGACTTTACTTGCGGAGAGGAAACTTGTAATAGATCTTCATCCCAACGCACGTATTTCCCTGCAACCTCCTTTTCGTTTTCTTTTTGCATGCCACGTGATTTTAACACCGGAATGTAAGAGGTCTTCGGCTTGTCCTTACAATTGGCAATTAAATGCGATGATAAGGACCTCCCTCCGCTTCTCATTTTTTCTTGCATCTTTGATGTTGGACTGAGTGGTTTGGGACCATCTTTACGCACCACCACAACATCGAGTTCACACCTGTATTCCTTGTTTCGTTCTGTGTTTTCTCTCGTTATTTTCCCGAGGTCACTCTTCTGAAAGTTACTTTTTATCATCATTTTCTTATGACGCACTTCTTTCAATAATCGTTTTTTTTCTTCGAGACTCATGTGACTGGTCGCATCCTAAAGTTGCGCAGGAATTGAGGTTTTAAGTTATTTTGTGCGTCGTGTAAAATGTACCTTTAATGGACTTTCAAATAATAATAATAACCTTTGACGACGACGCGATGCTACGCGTGACAATTACTCGTCCCTGAGGTATCTTGGAAGTTGGACCTCTATTTTCACTCTTGACGAAATCTTGCTTGGGTGATTCATCCAATTTATTCTCATCGTTAGAGGAGTCAACATGACACTGAACATTCTCGTCGTTAGGGGAGCGAATGTGGAATAAGACGTTTTCGTCGTTAGACGAGTGAACATTGCGTGAGATATTCTTATCGTTAGGGGTGTGAGTATGGTGTGGAACATTCTCGCCGTTAGGGAAGCGAACATGGCGCGGAATATTCATGTCGTCAGGGGAGTGAGTATGGGGTAGAAAGTTCGTGTCATTAGAGGGATGAACATGACACGAAACACCATCGTCATCGGAGGAGTGAACAGGGCACGAAACGTTATCGTCATTGGATGAGAGAATATGACACGGAACCTCGTCATTGGGGAGTTGAATATGGCACTGAGCATTCTCGTCGTTGGACAATGTTATCTCTTTCTGCGCCGCGCAATTTGAGTCCACCATACAATTTTCTGTACTGACGATAGAGGATTCCTGTATCTCCCCCTCACCGGGTGTGAAGTCGATATCTTGATCGTTCTGGGATACATTTTCTGGAGTAGCTTCATCCATATGTGGTCTTCGTTCTTCAGAATCATATAGTCTCATGGAATCATTCACAGAGCATGACACTTCAAGTGTAGAGGTTACATTATTTCCTAGTGCTTCTCCTGATTCGATTGTCATGTTTAATTCATTTGCGTTATCCAAATCATTATTTGAATCCATCCCATGATTTAATAATTCAGTATTATTGAATTCAGCCTCCTTCGAAGAGGGTACAAAAAATAATGAGTTGATCGTTGTCACTTCCTTAATAAATATCCACAAAAGAATATTTCTGATTAGGAAAGTGATATACGATTTAACTTTGGGAAACAAATCAAATCGTAAAGATTGATTCGCAGCAACCCCGAGATACGGATTGGACAGAAAATCACTTGAAGAATCTTCAATAGCTACCGTTTCTTTTTCCGCATAATTATATTCATTGAATGATTTTTGATCCAGATTTTCGGTGTAAGCAAAGTCTCCCGAGTTGTTCTCCTCTTCCTCCTCCTCCGCGCCACATTTCAACACTTCATATTCATCATCCATGTCGAATTCTTCGAAGACCCGCGAGTTCGAAATGTGTGGTTCTTCGTGATTAATAAATCTACAGGTCTGTGACGCGTTAATTTCAGCATCCGCCAAAGCGACCTCAGCGAGTAAATCAAGTCCACTTGAGTGTTGGACTCCTATTTCTGCCAGTTTGACCTTTGCAGGATCATCATTTGTACTCTGGCGCACGTCATCATGCAATAAGCTTTCGGTGTATATTGATTCACCTTCCGATAGCGAAATTTCGCCTTCAGGCTCCGTTAAGTCTTGACCCTGTATTGTTCGCGACAATCGACCATTTTCCTTCGGTGTCTCTTCTAACACATCGTTGCCCTTTTCTAAGTGATGGTCAAGAGTCTCCGCGATATTACAGACACTGACGTTTCGCTGAGAAAGCGCTTCGTCACATATGGCCTGATCAATGATGTCATCCAACGCGTTTCGAACCATGGCATTGATCATCTCGTCAATTAAACTTTGTACGTCACCATTCGGCAGGGAGGGGTCTTGTTCAGCTCCGCCCTCGTTCCCCAGTCGGTATCTGAGGTCCTCATTTATAATTCGCCTTTCGTAAAAATATGAAAGTCTTTTGGCCGCGTTTTCCTCCCACTCATTGGCAATAACCATTTTTGGCGTCCTGGAATCCAAATGGCAAGTGCTTTTGTACTTCTCTTTCGTGTACGAGTTTTTTCGAGAATAGAATGTAATAACACGAAGCTCGTGGCGAATGGTTATCGTTTTTTTTTTAGAGAAGAGGAGACTAAGGGAGAAAAAGATTGTTGATAAGTTGATAAGATTCTAAGTTGGTGTTAATAAGTAAATAAAACGCGAATCGATTACCACGTGGTGATATACTTTCAACAAAGTACCTGATTGGACAAATTTTTTGGTATATCATCACGCGGATAATTTTTTATAATTCTTGGGAAATATGCCGAAAGGGAATTACCGGGTTAAAGGATATTCGCGTCGAGGAAATGCACGCGGCAATAAGAAACAAGGAGTCGAGTTTGGGAAGAAGTCAAGAAAAGAAAGGGAAGCCTTTGAACAATTCGGAAGTCTGAAACCGCATGACGATAATTTAGATAGTTCGGAGGAAGAGGAAACCTCCAAAAAGTATTTTTTTTTTTTTTTTTTTCCTGAAACGAGGATTCTGTAATTTCAAATCAATTCGTTAACGCATTGTCTAATAGTTCGTATTATAAAGTTACCGAGTCGCAATTGGACGAAGAAAGAGAATATCAAACTGAGGAGGAGGACGTTGATGACGATAAAATTATTTTTGATGATGAACCGGGAGAAGAAATGGATATGAGAAAGAGATCATATAACAAGCTTATAGAATTATTACAGAGGGATTCAAGAAATCAGGAATTTCTCAAACGACGAAAGTTCGAGGAAGAAGGGATGGAGTACATGATGGCAACAAAAGCCGACGAAAGTTCCCTTGAAGACATGCAAAGAGACGCGGGTGATTTAAAGTCGGAAGAGAATAATTTTCAAATACAAGAGGAGAAAGATTCGGATGATGAATTGCCAAACGATCAAGATGTGGAGGAGGATGATCAAGGTGGTTCATCATCATTATCATATATCATTCGGTTAAATTGAGTGTAACTAACTTTTTATTTTAATCGGGCGGTTTTGTGTTGTACTAATAATTGCAAAAGATGACGCTGATGAGTTCGAAATCCATTTTGGAGACAATGGTCAACAAGGTGGCATTGGTGAGAAAGTGACGGATGTGGACGAAAAGAAATGGAAAATTCTCAGGTCAGAGGATCCAATACTGAAATTAGTGACGAAATACTCTTTGCTCGACGAATCCGTGGAGACGGGCGAAAATAATGAGAATGTGACTAATTTCAAGGCAAGCATCCATTTCCAATTTTCCACGATTTTCACACCTTAATGACACTATGAATTGTCGGTTACTTTCACAGATTAAGGGAAAATTGCTCGAGTCTTGGAAAGAATTACATGGTAAACTCAAGTAATAGAATTGTAATCTAAACTCCTAAGGACAAGAAAAAATATTCAGAAAGAAGGCTTTTCTTGAAAATGATTTTGAGTACGACAAAATTCACTGACGCTCTACTTATTTTTATTAGAAAATAAAACTGAAATTTTTTCGGAACTACAATCTCGACTCTTCCGCCATTTTAAAAAATATCGCGATGTATTGTTCGCAAATCGTTCTTTGGAAAATTCACAGGAAATAAGACGCCTCTATGCTTTGCATGCCCTGAATCATGTATTCAAGTAATGATCTCCAAATTCCTTACGTTATTTCTTGTCTTGATCACCGTTAGGTCATATTGAAGTCGTGAAATCACTTTGTTTAGAACAAGGCATCGCGTGCTAAAAAATAATGCGAAATTCACTCGCGCTCATTCTACTGGTAAAGACGTTGAGTGAGTAATTGTTTCTCTCATTATACGGAAAAGCGTGTGATGTTAACGACGCCATTTTTAGAGAAGAATTACGCGATCAAGGTTTCACGCGACCTAAGGTGTTAATCTTATTGCCTTTTCGGAATTCTGCTCTGGATTTGGTTGAAACATTGATAAAATTATCTGGGGCCGAACAACAGGTACTAGAAAATATAACTTTTTCGATGATTTGACACGTTCGTCCCAGATCCACGAATTTTGTCAATCCTGCCGCCAGGAAAATCGTAGACGATTCTTCGATTCGTATGGCATCTCGCCCGACCAGGAAAAGATCGACCCAAACAAACCAGGTGAGTGTCGTGATTTTCTAAGAAGGGTAGCGAGGTTGTCACGAATTATCAAGTAAATACTGACGCGTAATCTTATTGCATACCAGCTGATTTTCTGGCGACATTTAGGGGAAATATTGATGACATGTTTAGGATCGGCATAAAATTCACTCGAAAGTCGATGAAGTTATATGCCAAGTTTTACAACGCGGATATTATCATTGCTTCACCGTTAGGATTAAGAATGATAATTGGAAACGAAGGGTAGGCCGATTCCTATTACTTGGCAAACAAATAAAAAATGTAATGCTTTAATATTTGTTCACCGTCGAGTTCTATTTGAATCCTAGAGACAAAAAACGCGATTTCGATTTTCTTTCTTCGATCGAATTGCTTATAATAGACCAAGCCGATACTTTTCTCATGCAAAACTGGGATCATCTCGAGGTAGACCGACCAAGACAATAAACATATATATTTTGACACCATATACGAACTATTCATGCATCGCTAAACTTTCGCTGTTACCCAGCATATCTTTAATCACCTGAATTTGATTCCGAAAAGTTCGCATGATTGTGACTTTTCCCGTGTTAAAAGTTGGTACCTTGATGAAAGGTCAGACCGTCGTATCTGCCTATCTGTTAAGATTTATCACGGTTGTGCTTTTCTGAATTTATTCTCAATTCTCATTTTCTAGGGCGAAATATTTCCGTCAAACCATAATTATTTCGGATTACCTTACACCGGAAATTAATACCCTCTTTAACAAGCAAATGATGAATATTGCTGGAAAATTAAAAATAAAAAAGGAGTATGAAGGTTCAATCGTAAATGTGATACCGGAGGTCAAACAGGTAGTTTTAATCTTCCGGACGATTGAACTCTTTCAACAACGCGATAATGTAAATTTCTATTTAGATTTTTATACGAATCGAGTGTCCGTCATTGTCCGAATCGGATGACGTTCGGTTCAAATATTTCACCGAAAAGGTATGACGATGTCTTGAATCTCCTAACAACGATGACCGTTCCGACACCGCATTATAATAGTCTTTCATTGACCACCTAGATCCTATCGTTACTGAAGAACTCCGATCCGAAAATGGCACATACCATGATATTCATTCCATCATATTTTGATTTCGTTAGGCTCAGAAATTATTTCAAGGAAAATGATTACTCTTTTGTTAGCATATGCGAGTAAGTCCCCTAGATTCGGTAATGATTTTGGCTATCGTGATTTATCCAAATTCCATTTTCCTTAGGTACACACCTTTCCCGGATGTAACGAGAGGACGTGCTCATTTTTTTAATGGAAGAAAAGATATATTGTTATATACAGAACGCATTCATTTTTTCAGGAGGTACAATGTTCACGGCGTACATCGCATCGTGTTCTATTCTTTACCCGATCATCCCCAATTCTATCCGGAAATTGTCAACTTTTTAATTTCTTCGAAGGGTGAAACAGAAGAATCTAATCTATCGTGTCACATATTTTTTTCAAAATTCGATCAGCTTCGGCTGGAAAGAATTGTGGGGACGAAGCGAATGAATAATATGATTAGTGGTGACACAAATCTTTTTATGTTTTCTTGATTTGGGTTTCGTGGCCGATGAACTCAATTTTTTCGTAGCTCCTATAAATTTCTTTCTTTCGATAAACTGTGACCTTGAAATTTTTATTTAATTCTTAATACATCACGCTTCACACATCATGTTCGACGAACGCGTTTATTAGCAAATTTTAGATTTTTTGATCAGATGCATGCGTTTTTAATTGGCTAAATAGATTGTAGATCAAGCTATATTTAGACACATCAGAGAACGAGTGCCTTTTGATTCTTTTTCACAAGATGAACCAAACCACCATATCACAAGCTCTAAGAGTTGTGGGCTATAGTACGTAAATTTACTGCGTTACGGGTATTGGTCGGTTCTTTTCGCTTAAATATAGAGTTAATAAGTAGGAATGCACAGACTCGCTCTTGAGGACGTCCATGACGAGAAATGTCGGTGTTCTGCAACTTTTAGCGAGGTAATGCTCTTATGCCCAACATTTCTGGGACCGCAACCTGACTTCTTCGATAGAGTTAACTGCGAGAATCAGGTTTCTCGATGCTAGTCTAATCGTAATAAAATTCTTCAGGAAAAGTGATCGGCCATTTTCCTCGACCGCACCTACTCAAGGCACGGCTTCCGAGCATCAGAAAATTCTCAATGACCAACGAGCTGCTCGGCCCTTATCACCTCATTTGTCCATTTATCAACCGCAATTAACTTGGTATATGTCCATAACACACAGAATTACTGGTGCGGGCTTGGCTACTGGTGAGCATCGACTCAAAAGTTTGTGCCGAGAAAGTTGAAATGACATACACTCACCAATTCATAATCTCATATCTCATAAAGTTCTCTATGGTTCCGCCATTGTCTACGCTCTCGGTAGTCCGTTGGGATTAGAGCTCGATTCTCAATCGTTTACCGCTGCAGTCGCCACCCTTCCACCATCCGCTAAATTGACCGGAAAATTCCTTCTGGCTTGGCCCTTCACCTTCCACGTATTCAATGGTATCAGGCATTTGGTGAGTTAATTATGAAATGAATCTTTTACACTCATCACATTCTTTATTCAATATATACTTGTATATTTTAACACAAAAATCACCCAAAGACATGGGACCTCGGAGCTGCTTTATCGCTGAGGGGTGTGTATGTTACGGGATACGCCGTAATCGGACTCTCCACTCTGTCCGCGGCTGCAATGGCCTTGCTCCCTTGATTTTGACGTTGCCGTTATCCGATGCCTAATTTAGCATGTTTCGATTTCATTTTTTTATGATATATTCTATTCAAATCGAAATTTCGAACTCGATAAATAAATTTGATTGCACAAGTTAGATAAATCAAACAATTCAAGACTTTATATGTGCCTTATTTATCATCCAAATTATGTACACGATAATAAAGTTAAAAGTGTGACCTTGTTATTATTAGTAAAAAAAAAAATAATTTTTTTTTACATCATGATTAATTAATCTATTTACAAATCACAAATAATGAATTCTAAATTATAGCAAACTATGTACAGGTTGGAAATTTCTCTCGCCTGAAAGAAAAGAAAGAATAATAAGCTGACCCCCTGAAATTGTGTCAGAGAAAACTGAATGCACTCATTCTAACTACTGTATTATTGAATGTAGACGCGGATCGCGGATTCCTTTTTTTCACGACAAATGGCACATGTTTCAACGGAATTGGTACACTTCTCGCAAAGTGCCATGTGATAACACGGAACAATGGCATGCGTGATCGGTTCCGCATAGCAAGCCTTACATCTATTGAAAGTTGCCGAATTATCCTCATATTCTTGTTTCCTCGCCAGTTTCAGGTTTTTGCATTCATTTTGTAAATCTTTTAACTTTCCTTGGAGTTTAATGATTTCCCGTTGGCAAGATTGTCTTATATTAACCTCTGTATCTAATTTCGATTGACAAGAACCGAGTTTACCCGAAAGACTCCTAAGCTCACTTCGCACACCCGATGCCTTTGACCTTTCTGCCGAGATATCGCTTCTCAATTTCTGATTCTCATCGGAGAGTCGTCTATTTTCCTTAACCAAGTCATCGTAATGCCCGAATGGCATGTGCGATTTTAACTTGAGAACTTGATTACGCAAATCTTTGTTATCTTCAGCGGATTTTGACCGATGGAGGTTTAATTTTTTGATTTCTTCATGAAGTGCACCATTCTCTTCTTTGTATTTCTTGATGTCTCTGCAAAGTTGCTTATTCCAGGAAGAAAGCTCTTCATTTACTTTGACAAGTCCGACATTTTCGCTAGCATTATGATGGTCAGGTAGTGATTTCTCAAATTTTCCAGAAAATTGTCTACTCTCTGAACCAGGTCTATTGTTTTTTTCAAAGGAGCTACGGTTTATCTCAACGGTCAACCTTCGGTTTTTCTCAAGATGTTCATTCCGACGCCTGAGATCCTGGAAATCATGATCTAAAAAGTTCCAGTCTGCAATTAGTTCATCGTTCTTTTGGCGTAGCTTTTCGTTTTCTTTGACCATTTTTTCGTACTTTAACGTTAAAGACGCATTCTCGCCTTTTAACTTTTCTAAAACACATTCATCACTATTATCAGGCTTATTTGTTTCTTCGTCCAAAAGAAATCTCCGATCGTTCGGTGAAACATTCTTATTAAACTTATAAATGTTTTCAACTTTTTCAGATAACAATCCATTCTCGTGAGTCAACTGACTATTTTTCCTGTGAAGTTCTTCAGTAGAATCTGCTAGCATGGTAAACTCCGAACGAATCTCGTGGTTCTCATTAGACAATTTCTCACAACATTGTCGAACTCTCGCACACTCTTCGAATAGTTCACGATGTTTGGAAAAAATCTCGGATTTTTCGTCTGAAAGCCTCTTGTAGTTCAAACGAAACTCCTTGATTTCCTCTTTGAGTTTCCGATTTTGTGATTCCGAGAACGCAACCACCTCCTTAAGTTCATCGATCTTTTTTAACAAAAGAGCGGATTCATTCCCTTTGCAGTGTTCGTGAATGGTTAGGTATGCCTGGGAATGTTGCGAAATGTCATCCATAATGGAGATGCAAAAATTTTTCGCAAGCGGTATTTTCACAGCATTGTTGGATAATCCATTTGAGCGTGAATCGTCCTTGTCATCATTATTCACGGTGTGTCGCAATTGTGCGGAATCGTCGTCACTCGGACAAGAGAAATCCGGGCATCTAGAAGAACCGTCTAAACGCTTAGGATCGTCCTCGATTCTCGTTTCGCCTACGAAGTCAGAGTTGAAGGCAGAAGACGAGTAACTCGGAGAACTTGAATTATCCATGCCTTTTTTGACCCATGATAATCTGGTAGCTTCCCCGTCATTGCATGAATCTGTGTCATTCACGTGACCATTCGAACCGCTCACCAAAGTAGCGGTGTCATCATTTTCATTTTTATTCGAAACGTCGCAAAACCCGGGAGCAATCGAACCCGCCTCATCTTCCCGGTACTTGCTCTCCAAAACATTACTTTTAATCGCGGAGTTAAAATCAAGATCTGATTTCGGGGAAGATGACTGGACGGAGGAGAGATCATGAGAATCGCATATAACTGGAGAAACCTCATTTTTATCCAGTTGACCTTTAATTGTGAAATCCAAGAAATCCGAATTATTAACATCTTGGAATTTGTCACTGGCTGCATCATCATTAGCGATGTTATATTCGGTCACCGGGTCTTGCCTAAAGTGGTTAAGGGTAAGTTCGCCTGAAATACTAGTGTCACCACCGTAGTCATGCTTTACAGAAATTAACTCGTTTACTCCTGGATGATTTTCATTTACTACTCCGACAGGATCATTCGAGTCACCCGCCACTAACATGATATTATAACCTTTGCCGGAGATATCGAACGCGTTATCACCGTCAATAGTCGTCGTTCCAGTCCCCTGATCCTCCTTCATATCACCAGTTGATTCATCGTCATCATGATCATGCTCGATCTCAGAGTTGTCCGGTCCCAAATGAAGCGGAGGCATATCTCCCAAGCGACTTGAATTATCTGCGTCATCGTCACGATCGAACGGACGTGGTTTGGGTAATTCGCTTGATAATTCATTATTGCTAACGTCCAATGAGGTGTCGTCAAGGTAGTCCAAATTTTCCGAAAAAAGGGTGGCAAGAAAATAATCATCTTCTTGAAGCATCGTGTTTTCAACATTGTCGCCCGAGGAGTTTAGATCACACGACTTATCCACACAGGTCGATGAATTACAATCTGACGTAAATGGCTGGATGATGTTTTCCAAAGATTTTGAATAATGACTGTCGCCGTTATTCCATGCCTCATCGTTATTAACAGAAAAATCATTTT